CACTCCTCTCTCCCAATACACTCCCTCCCTCCCATCTCACCCTCCCTCCGATCCTCTCTCCCACCCTCTCTACCCCTCTTTCTGATCTTGAAGTTTATAGAGGAGTATTATCACTCTATGGGACGCAGTGGCTCAGTGGCTAAGATGCTGAACTTGTTGATCAGAAAGGTCAGCAGTTCAGCGGTTTGAATCCCTAGCGCCATGTAATAGAGTGAGTTCCCATTACTTGTCCCAGCTTCTGCCAATCTAGCAGTTTGAAAGCATGTACAAATGCAAGTAGAAAAATAGGAACCACCTTTGTTATTTCAGCATTCTGTGTGCCTTCGTCATTTAGTCATGCCAGCCACATGACCATAGAGATGTCTTTGGAGAGCGCTGGCTTTTTGGCTTTGAAACAGAGATGAGCACCGCTCCCAAGAGTCAGGAACGACTAGCACATATGTGCGAAGAGAACCTTTATCTTATTATAGCTCTACAGTATTCTAGGAAAGTAGATTACATTGGATGAAAGTGGATATCTAGGTAATTGACCTAGATCTATTTCAAACTGGCTTTAAGGCTTTTTATAGGAGAAAGACTAGTTGAATAATCTCATAGAGCTTGAAAAAGCAAACATAGTTATCTTGGTTCTATTTGAATTCTTAATGGCTTTTGTTAGGTTGCAAGAATAATTTCAAAAGGTAGTGCTAAGAGATTCCCATTCATCCAAAATCTGTTGGCTTGTGATGTCCCTTAAGCATCCATCTTCTCCTCTAATATTTAGCTTTTTCATGGTACTGAAAAAGACTGTCCACGAACTATGGATTCAGTATTGTTGTGGATATACAACATTTGTAGTTTCATTTTGCCAGATAATACTTGAATTAGATTAACTAAAACCAAATCCACCTGTAGTGCATATATAAAAGCATTGGTGGTACACTATAGGTACCTGCTAATGACACTCATTTCTTTTTTCAGTCAAAATCAAGATAACTGATTAAGTTCTAAATCAGTGTTGAAAACTGCCAAACAAACTGAACTTTGTCCAGAGGAGACAGAAATATTGTAATCCTATTTAGTCAGATGGAAGATCAGGAAATATGATTCAACCTCTGTTAGACTGAATTATCTTGTGAAGACTGAGAGTCACATCTCAGTTGAGCTGCTGAAATCAACCTTAATCCAGGTGCCTTGGGATTCCTTGTTCAATTCCATGGGTCAGTACTCACTAGGAATGAGTTTGTTCAGTTAAAACAAGTATTCCAACTGAGTCTGTTCCTGGGAATGAGAAATTTAGCTAGAGTCATGTAAAAGATAATTTTTTGACAGGTCCAGAATGCTGCAATGAAATATGTTCAATTGTTGAAATAACTTCCCTAGCTATTTTGTTTTTAATTGTCATTCAATTTCAGATGTTATTTCTATTAATTAAATATTCCAGTTGTACAAATTACTAAAACATTAAATCATACAAGAAATAGCTTAAGTAAATGTGTATTTAATTTTAATTTTGTTGTTTTCATTTCAGGTAAAATGATTTAGGATAATCGATGAAAGAAGTTCACAGCATGTTCAGGAATTCAAACAAAAGTTCCTGTGAACATTCAAATCACTGAAATGACCAAAATCTCTTTATCTGAAACATATGAATTAGCTCTTGACAAGAAACTATAGCACTTGAAAGTTTCTTAAACTTTGCATCTTATTGTCTGCGCGAAAACACATCTATTGAAGAATATAACAATTGAAGGAACATGTCTAACAATGCAGAAATAATCAACCTATCATTTTTATTAGAGCATGAAAGAGAAACAATATTGGGAGTATTAAAAAGAGATGAATACTTGAAAAAAATGGAAGATAAACGAATCAGGTAATCTTTAAAAAATATCTATACTATTTAAAACACCAAATACTAAAGCTTGGTTTGGAAATGTGTGGCTGTTATCATTGTTAATAGCGATAATTATAAATGTTCCATTTTGCTCATTTTTCATGTGCACAGCTTTGGCCTCCAACAGTCTGATTTACCCTTTAGAAAAATAAACTTTTTTAAAAGATTATTATTTGTGATAACTGTAGCCTAATTACAAATTGTTGATATGAAACATATGTGCACATCAAAATTCAAAATTTTTTGCTACTGGTTCTGTGGGCGTGGCTTTGTGGGCCTGGCAGGGGAAGGATACTGCAAAATTCCCATTCCCTCCCCAATCTCAAAATTTCTGCTACTGGTTCTCCAGAACCTGTCAGAACCCGCTGAATTTCACACTTGCAT